TTATCTCTAAAGTCTAATAAACAACAACAAATTCGAATGCTTATTGGGCCAAACTTAACCTAATAAAACAACAATAAATTCGGATATTTACTGGGCAAGATTTCATCTAACAAAATAACAACAAATTCGAATGGTTACGGGGCAAACTTAATCTAAAACCTTGATATATCTGGGACCTGGTATTACTTTGATTATGCTTACAACTAAAAGAAAACAAACCATAAACCTTAAATGTTTATTTGTCAAGTCTTAATCTAAACTTTTGTATCGTAATCATGATTAAGTTACTAAAATAAAACGACCGCAAAATCAAATGTTTATTTTCAAAGTGCAAAACTTAACTAAATTACGCAATATCTTCGGTCTTCTTCAACTTGAAGATCTTCCTTCGGCGGTGTGTAGAGCTTCGACGTGTCGAGCTTGCTCCAACGGTGTTTGCGGCTTCGGTGAGTTGTCCAGCGGCGTTGAGAGCTTCGGTGAGTCCCTCGTTGTCCAGCGGCGTTGAGGGCTTCGGTGAGTCCCTCGTTGTCCAGCGGCGTTGAGAGCTTCGGTGAGTCCCTCTTGGTCCAACGGTGTTTAAGGCTTCGGTGAGTCCCTCCTGGTCCAACGGTGTTGAATGGTCCTGCAAATGGCTCAGTCATGGAGACCCGTACACCTATAGCACAACTGAATTAGTTCAACTCTTCAGGCACGCAGAACAATTGGTCGCAATATAATTTCATATTTAAAAAAAACGACCAGATGAGAGATACTACAAAATTCCCTTAAACAACAAGTAAAGCTTCTCAACCCTCTTCTGTTTCCTTTAATTTTAATCCCTTCTTCTTTTTTTTAAAGAAGCAAAAAAAAAAAAAACCCTTAAAGAAAGTAAACAAGAAATGAAAACTTAGAATCTGATGGCTTGTAGACTGAGGACATTGTGACGACAGACTCCTGTTGCTGGACGTCCGGCGTTGGTTTTCAGACGGGCCAGGACATCGGGCTTTTCTGCGTGTCACCTCTCCACTTCTTCCCTGGCAAGTTGTTGCTGTCTCCGCCTAGACTGGCTTCCAGACACATGGGAATGTGGGGGAGTTGGTTAGCGTCAGTGTGGCCTGCAGATAGTTCCTGGCAGTGACTCATGAGTCACGAGTCGTTCTAGTCTGAAAAATTCAAAGTAAAATCAGTTCTACAACTTCATCAGTCGGGAAGGGTTTTTTTTAGATACTGTTTAGATGACTGTTGATCCTCCTCTTAACCAACATCCATCAGCCCAGGATTCGGAGTGATTTGAACGGGATGGTATACATCTACATTTGCAATCCTGTGATCGCACGCCGAGTGTTCCACATCTGGAACAGAACAAAAGAAATCTTCTTTGACATACACCACGTAGGTGTCCGAGGTTTCCACATCGCCAACAAACATTCTTCTCCACTGGAACTCGATCAGAGTTTTTAAGCAATACATCTTTGGAGTCAGAAAACTTGTTAGTTTGACGTCTGCGGAACTCTTCTACAGGACTCTGTAGACTCGTTTTTATCGGAAGGCGACTGCCTTTAGAAACGGAGGCTTGACATTGGCCTTTCCTCAACTTCTCGGTTGTTTGTTCAACACTTTTCTTCGGATTTACTTGTAAACTTTCGGCGGAGCTTCGGATCAACTTAGCATTCAATCGGATCTGTTGGGTTCGTAAATCAATCTGGAAGTCATGTTTGCCCAGAATATCCATACCAATAATCATATCCGAAACTAAGTCTTTTAGACTGTGGAAAACTTCATTCAGAGACTGCTCTCCTACTTGGATTTTCATCCTAAATGCTGTGCTAATGGACTCCGTGGCACCATTAGCAAGTCTCGCTCCTTTTACCGCGGGTTTGACAGGAATTGCCTTGGAAGTTTGGCACTGTTCTGTCAATTTCTTTCCAATATAGGAATGGGCAGCTCCAGTATCCAGGAGTGCCAAATAGTTGGTGTTTCTGTAGCAAATCTTCACAACAGAACGGACTTCTTGACGTACGATTTGTGGTAATTCTTTGACGATCTCGGTTGGTGAATAATGTTGTTCCTGGGATATTTCTGTGCAGTTTGGTTCCCGCTTTCTTGGGCTCACACATGGACAATTCCTAGAAAGGACACCTGTCTTTTTGCATCGGGAACAAAAGATTTTGGGCTCGGATGTGCACTGTCTGCGGAAGTGTCCTGTCTGTCCACATCTCCAACAGATTGCTTCTGAAGTCTGTTTTGCAGAGTTCGGCGCTCTATACGGATATCTTGAAACACGGGGAGTAACAGACACATGTCTCTGTTTACTCTGAGACGGCGATTGGCTCTGGATAACCATCAGGTTGCTCCTGGCTCCAGCATGCTCATTTTCCAGCCTGTCTCGCCGAGGCGTATTATTCGGTCGGACTTCGACATCGAACGGTGCATAAGTACGGGACGATCGCTGCAGTTCCTGATTAAGCAGTTCAAATTCCTTGGTTATTCTTGAGAACGATGAAATATCGTGAAAATCTCCTCCTCGGACATACTGACGAAATTCAGGTAACAAATTTCTGTACAACCACTGCAATTCTTGATTCGGAGAGATGCTGCCATGTCTGCGGATCAACGTTTGAAGATCAGTGATGTACGCCGTGACAGACTCGTTATGTCTTTGCACTCGACGACTTATCTTCGCCTCCAGGTCCACCTCATAATTCACTGGATAATAAAAAATTTTAAATTCTTTAGTAAATTCTTCCCAGGTCCTGTAATTTACTCGGTTATTGCGGTACCAGAGCGCAGCTTCTCCCTGCAAAACCTCTGGCAAATGTGGCAATAAGTGATCCGGATGTATACTCTGTGCAATACAAATTTCTTCCAGTCTTTCTAAGAACGTTACAGGGTCCGAGCGACCATTAAATGTCACTCCCCATTTGTAAACTTGTATTGGACCAGTGTTAAAACTACCTGATATACCTGGATTCATCGGCAGAGGGACAGGCAGCGAAGTAGAAGTATAGACCACCGGAGAAGACATTTCGGATTTTACACGTCCAGCGATGTATCCACTCGAGGTTGCTGTCACTGTAGTTGTCACTGTAGTAGTGGTCAGGGTGGCTATAGAGCTCACTGTCGGTACCACAGCACTATTTCCATGAAATCCAAAAGGCTGTGTGACAGGCTGAGGACTCGCCTGTCCTTCTCTAATGAATCTCACTATTCCTCAACGGTCCCGGTACTATCCAATCCAAAACGCAACAGTTGTGCAGCCAGTTCAGACTTCTTCAGGGAATAAATCCACCCTGTCCTGAAATCAGATTCAGCACTCGTGCCAGACGGCGCCAGGTTCAAACCTGTATGTGACAGCGACGGTACGGCGTCGTTCCCTTCAACGGAAGCACCGATCGACAAAAAATCTTCCTCAGTTTCCATATCGCTCTAGATTTCACTAGTCTTTTAACTCATAAACACTGAGACTTTACTGTCTCTAGAGGTACTTATGCTCGACGGTTGTTACTTTCTTTTCACCTCCTCTCACACTGTTTCAATAGCTTTCTTGCTTTTACTAGCTTTACCCGGTTTTCCTGGTATTTTTGACGGTTTCAATTTTCAAAACAATCAAGTCCCTATGCTGGGGCGCCAATTTTGTAAGAGTCTCAATTTATTTTTCTTTGGTTCAGTGAAAAATAAATAGCCTTACTGGCGTACAGTAGTAAACTTAAATCTCTCGGGCGCCACCTCTGTTATTTATAGTGGAAGAGGTCCACATTTCGCCAATACGGGTAGCTTTTATACAGTGGAGATACCAGGGAGTGATGAAATGAAAAGAAATAAAACACACAGTTAACTATAACATAACATTAAGGCTTTATTTAATTATTTAACTATATGCTAAATACCCCAGGAAGTTTCACGACTTTAAATTGTAATGAAAGAGAAAGAAAATTTATAATTAAAGACTCGTAAAATAAAATTTACAACAACAATCGAGCACCTCTAGAGTTTTGACCGTATAATCTCGATATGCAACTCACTGTCCGATTTAATCACGCGAATTCAAAGCGCGTTTTTGACATGACGTTCTAGTAAATAAAACGACGCGAGTTTCTAACCGGCGTCTAACTTAACGGCGTCCTAGTAAACACAGACATGTACGTACCGGGCGATATACTATTTTATAACCCGACTTTCTAAACGTCGGCGACGTCGTTACAGACGTCCCGGGATAAACAAACGCGAGCCCTGGATCGTTCGCAGCAGAACGAAACGGCGTCCTGTGGGATAATTACGCACCCGAGCCCTGAATCGTGCGCAGTAGAACGAAACGGCGTCCTGTGGGATAGATACGCACGCGAGCCCTGAATCGGTCGCAGTAGGACGAAACGGAGTCCTGTGGGATAGGTACGCACGCGAGCCCTGGATCGTGCGCAGTAGAACGAAACGGCGTCTCGGTTAGTCGCCTGGATAAGCGCAGTCCACACCGCCCGGTCAGGACCACCTCGGGATGTCGGCGAGATCCCACGGCGCTCCTGATGAGAATACGGGAACTACAGAACCAGTCTCGGGATGGACGAGATCCTGCCTTAGCTCCAAGGATATTCGCGCCCGTATATTTGTTGTACTACCTTAACCGCTATCTGTCTCCCTTTTAACCAAAAGAAATCGGTCTTCGCGTCCACGGGATCCGGACAAAATGCCTCAACCTTGCATGTATTTTTACTTCTATAGTAGGACAGTTGACACCTTGAGCGGATACAAGTCTGGTTAAATTTTACGTACGCGCGTTTCGGAACAAGATGCCTCTACCTTGCACGTATTTTTACTTCTACAGTAGGACACGAGACACCTGGAGCGAATTTAACTATCTCTATCTCCCTTATTCTATAACGCGTTAAGGCAGTAAAAC